ACCCTGTGTCGGTCCATGAAAAATCGACTCGATGGATATACCATTGTTTTCTTGTAATGGACCAAACCATATTTCCAATTATTTCGCTTATAAAATAGAAACGAATGGCTTGCCCTACTTCAATGTATAGTACATTGACCCAGGCAAAACAATAGTAGCACCATATAGGGTTCAGGACAACGATGTCTCGCAATGAGTTTATTGCTCTTTGCGAGAAATGTACTCTGCTGATGATCTCATAGTCATGCAAGCTAAATAGTTACATATAGTGAGTGACGGACTTTGGTATTAAACAATAACCATCCGAATCACATTCTTAAGAAATACCTAGCCTTGGACGCAGCTTATGCTAATTAGCACAATTTAACACCAGAACAGAAAGCGCGAGTTCACGCAGTTACGCGTCTAGTTGTTTCTATATCAAACTCGATTTAACTGCGTTACAAAAGTGCAATTCTAAATTTAATTCCTCACCATTGAAGTTTCTGACTACAACACGGAGCAGTCACTCTGAAACCATGGAAACTCATTTTGAAAGGCGTTACAAAGGCCCACAATGCATTTCGGTCTTGGAATAAACTATCTTCAGTATATGTGAAAAGATAAATTTAACACTGTAAAAAAGTATGTGGAAAAACTTACTGACGTTTCGGATGTTAATCCTTCTCTCTACTCCGACGAAGGATTAACATCCGAAACGTCAGTAAGTTTTTCCACATACTTTTTTACGGTGTTAAATTTATCTTTTTACATAACTGTTTCTTTAGAAACACCGACGCAGCTCACACTAGTTTACCGCTAGTTCTCACCATCTTCAGTATACTCCAGTTTCGAGATCTTATTTGTGCAGACTTCGAAAGATGTAATATATTCTTTTTTTCAGCAGAGACCCTATTGTAATATAAACACTCTGTCTACAAAGAAGAAGATACAAAAATATTTTTTGATTGAAGCTGAGCTTGCGCAAAAGAGAATTCGAACTTGGAGTAATGAATGTTTTCTGAATTAGCTGTATACGCTGCAAGGAGCTGCAAGCATCAAGTGACGACCAATCATTACGTTTGCTATAAACACACACCACGCGGCGATTCCCAGGGGCCAAGGAACCTATTGTGATGGTTGACCATTCCTTGGGGGCCTAAACATGTCGATCATAAACTGATTCGGCTTAGTAATTTTTATCAAGAACTTAGATTCCTTACTCATATGATGAATAATAGATCGTTTTCTTGCGCTAAAATGTTTATATCATTCAGTCTGTATTCTCAAATCCATGTTAATTACTCTCATTCGCCTGATTTTGCAATAAAACCAACAGATTGCTAAGTTTTTCTTCGGATTATCATTCATCCTCCTAAATGATTGAGTTTCKCTATATTTATATTAATAATTATTTGATAAGCAATACTTAATCCATTAGAAAACTTTTATATCAGCCAGAGAGAACATTCAAATACCAAGTTGGAGTTTCAGAGGTCTTCAATTTTGATCCGTTGAATCTCGACAAAGCATTTGCAACAGCTATTACCTTCCCGATCTGTAAACCAATTACGTTAAGAAATTTAAGAGATTTTGTCGCTCTGTCTCTCCGAATACTGGTAATGTCTGTCTTTTCCTGTGATGATTTGGAGAGCAATAACGATGACTGAACAGCTCCGTGGTGAATACCTTCACAATCCATCAAGAACATCGCTGTTCGGAGGCAAAAAAGCACCCATCCCCACCCTCATCAAATAATTATCCACTGAAAAATGATTATGTAAACCCTGGATCGTTTGCTTATTCCTGAGCTGAGCTATGATTGGCTTGCTGCTCCCWAAGGAATTGAGTGACGTCATCTATTAGCATAGAACTTCGCCGAATAGACTATCCCGATTAGGTATTAAATACATATAAGTGTCTTCATAGTACGATGGTCTAAGAGGGTAGCTAAAGGTATGCTCTAGTGGGCGGCTACCCCCTCACTCCCTGGCCTTTTGGTTAAGACTAAGTTTTATGCTCACTCGGGATAGCGTGGAAGAGCCGAAATCTCTAACCGTAACGTAAGCCGATTCGACGCCTCAGCTTCATAGAATGTCTCGGGGGAATCGTCCCATTTTTTCGYCTTTTATTTTCAATATTTTTTATACATTTCCGGGGGGGTGCATCTCCCACTCAAGTAGAAGTCACGAGTTCGAGTCCTGCTGCTGTGATTTCGTTTCTTTTTTATTGTTTMTTTTTTTATTTCTTTCTTTTTGTTTCTTTCTTTTTTTTATTACTTTTTCTTTGCTGTTCTTACTTTGCTTATTTTCTCTAGAGATTTTTTCTTTTCAACTTAAACATATCAAAGAGAAACATTGATAAATCAGTAGCCGTTGACGAGTTTGGTGATTACACATGTAACCAAGCAACGATCAAATCAACGAACGCCTATTAAAATTTCAGCTTAGAACGTAGGACGTCGATCTCGCCTGTGCACGKCGTCTTKGATACTATATTGGAGAATTCACTACGGATAAATTCTTACCTCCAGYCACCCGCCCTCACTGGAAATTTTGTTTCGAAAATGAGAAGTTCTTGATCTATGTGCTCTTTGGGTGCTAACAACACGGTTTTTTGGGAGCGAGGGGTCAGTGAGGGGTGAAGGAGTGGCAAGGGAAGGGTTAGGGAGGGGTCGAGAGTTTAAGTAAAAAAAAGATATACAAAGAACAYACAACTGTCATTTATCTATTCATCCTAATTTAAGTAAAAATATTCGTCTTTCAGAACTGTATGCACAGAAAATGYATTTCGACAAATCAATTCAGTGATTTCATGGCTAAACCTGCGTTCCTGATCTTCATCAAAAGCACTGAAACTGAAAAAGCGATGTGCAGCCATCTGGAAGTAGAATGGAGAGCATAATTTTTACGAGCAATCAAAATTTACTCATTGTACTTGCTTCAAAATTGAGTAAATACTGCTGCGGTATCGTGCGCCATGTAACCAGGACATTAATACGATGGCAATAAATATACATGCAGCAAACAAAAATTGAGAAACGCTGCAAACAAAGACCATAGATTCGTGCGCRCACATATAATGGACGTGTGGGAGTAAGTGCTAAATATGGCGAAGATGTAGGGTATTTGTGCGTGATCGCCGTAAAGAGTTTAAACTTATAACAACTGTGATGAAACAATGGCTTGTTGCGTCARTAAAAGGGAAGTCAACGGGGCAATACTAGCATATTTCCATAGAGGTTATCCTCATGAAGTTATCAATATGGTCATGATGTTAGAAAAACAAATGATGTTAGAAAAACTCTTTGGCTCTTAGAGTGGTTTTCATAAACCCTTRAAACAAAGTGTAATAATTAGATTGTAATAGATCGTAATAGTCGCGTAGAGACAATAAAAAACAGAGCCAAAGTGTAATTGCGATAAATACGCTGAAGTGTGTTTCACGGGTTAAAGAAAACCACTCTATTGTTTTTTATTGTCTCTACGCGACTATTACGATCTTAGACTATGACACTTTAATTATTACATTTTGTTTCACGGGTTTATGAAAACCACTCTAAAGGGCTTGGTTTGAGGCATAAATTATTTGAGTGAAGAAAAGACGTTTCAGCCGGGTTTACAGTAAGGATGGTAATTTGAAAACAAAAGAAGAGTCAGAAAGAATAAAGTTCGTCACCACCAAGCATAAAGGTTCACTCATTTTACATTGTGCAATTTTCTCGGCAATGTAACGCCAACAGAAGTTGCTTAGAAAGTTATATCTCTTTTATTTATGCAGTTTTCCTCAGACAGCAATATTTTTGGATAAGGTAATCTGGAAGCCAGAATTAAAATAGCGGACATTTGAAATGAAAAACTGTTCATGCTCTWACAGTGTACCTGACTCAAAAAGAAGGTGCTGGAGGGTGATACACTATGCAATGCTTTGTAAGTTGCTGCGATGCGTAGCGAGACGACTCTATTACAATGAGCAATTGTCAATCAACTTGTAGCGTAACGGTAACGAAACTGACTCCTGATGCGGATTGGTCAAACTCGGGCATTCTTAAAAATAAAATGAAGCTTAGGGTTAATTAACTCAAGAGGGTTTTTAAGAGTAACCATGATTTGGAACATGGGCGTACGTTCCAAACAACGGTTCCAAACAACGGCCATTGCAGGGTATTGATTATTAAAAGCGTTATTCAACCATCAAAGGCAGTCAATACTAATGTTGGCGCTGAATGAAGTTCTTAAATGATGAATTATTTGGTACATTTTCCTTGTTTTACAACAGATGAGTGAATATTATCAAGCAAAAATTGAATACCCATTGATTATAGACCATTATAAGACACCCTTCGTGAAATAATTGTATATACATCTGTTTTAGACGAACACTAAATATAATATTACCCCTGAATAAGTATTGCAAAGTTTGCCCCATGGTTCGGTGCTTTAATTCTCATGAAGGCACTTGTCCTGGTGCCGTACAAGGTCTCAATGACGGTGTCCGTTTGACACTAGGTAATTTGACGGCCCGGCAAAAACGGCGTTTTGACGGCAATTGGACGCTTAGAATGAGCCAATTGACTTTAACGAGTAAAAGTTAAGTTTATATTATTTAGAGAGCTTTTAAAAGCATGACGTTCACGCAAACGGCAAATAAGATAATGTGACCTGCCTTTTGTGGGCTTACACTTACAGTTTCGAGTCGACAGTGTTTTGTTTTRGGACTGCCATAATTATGAAAAGTCTCTCTTTCAAATGACTACCAAAAGCACAAGGTCAGGCTCGAGATTCTTAGGTCATTCGTTCAACTCTGCCGTTAGCCGTTTTCTGTAAACGTGATGCTTTTAAGTTTAAAAACTCTCATTAAATGTACTGAAAATTTAGCAACATTTATAATATGTTTTAAGATAAAGGGCTGAAACGGTTCAACCCGTTTCTGACATTAATTACTAATATATTTACATATACACCCTTTTTTTCGAAGTTGGTTAGCACTACTACTTTCTNNNTCGATGATATCCCATAACTTCTGATTTATGTTACATAATTATACGTATACTTGGAATATGAGTCAAAATGATGCATATTGCTGTATATAATGAAAGGGTAAAAATTATCTTGTGAACAAAAATGTTCATTATGCCGACGCTCTTGATGATAAGCTTTTTTGGACGGTTATCGTCAGTTATTTGAAGGTTAACGCATTGTACACATGACGGTTGGTGGTTAACTCCATTGAGAACCTTGTACAACATAGAGCACATTTCTTATTGTGCGCAGAAAAAACATAGAGACGCGACTAGTATTGAGTCATAAATAGTGTAAAGCAGCCCATTATGCACTTTTTTAAAGTCCCCTAAAATATTCCCAAAAATCCGTTCGGCCTTAAACACACACCAAATATAGACATTTGTATATAGCCGAATTATACAACTGAAATTTGCTTTGTTCTGTAGCATTGTCTATTGAGAAAAGATCATGTCCCGTGTATAGCAAGTCCAGGGCAAAATTCTTTAGCACAAAATGTGCTGCATCAGTACATTGCAGTTTGCAGGTCAGCGGTAAAGTTCCGAATAAATCAGTTACACTCTGAAAAGCCGGTATTCATAGTGTTATTAAAATTCAACTTTTGACCAAATACAATCGCCATTTTATTGTAGAATTTGGATGCAAATTCAATGTTGGCGGAAAGCTTCTGCATATTTTACAAGTTTTGATCACTTCTTCTTTCATTTAGTTTTCGAAAACTCAGGACTTTGACTTTCTCATCGTATATAATTGAAGTAGCACTTGATCTGATGTCAGCAATCTCCATGGTATGGACGATGGTGGGTCGAAGTGATGGCTTGCATGGCRCTAACAAAGGCTTGACAATGTCCCAGAAACCATTRCGATAATCTTTACTGAATATGAAGTAGATTAAGGGGTTAATGGCGTATGATGTTAGCGACAGRAAAAACAAGGCATCAAAGACCTTCCTTGGTATAGGRCAAACTAAGACATTGGTATAACTAACAACTATGACCGTGTACAATGGTAACCAACAAAAAGCAAATACCACCACCACAGTTATGCACATCTTAAGGACGTTCACCTTGGTTTGGTGTTCAAGACGTTGATTGGCTGCTGTTACGTTGCCAGGGATACGTCGAAYCCATAATTTATGCACCGTGATTGAATACAATACAGCCATGATGCATAGCTGTGTAACATGAAATACGGACACTTGGATGATCAACAATATCATATCTGTATTTTTAAGAAAGGGATCCCAAGATGCAAAACAGACAAGATTACCATTCCTGTTCTTGTGCCTAACACCGTACAGTTTTGGACTCATAGTCAAAAATGCCACAAACCAAAGGGCAGCAATAATTTTCTTGGCTCGAGAACGAGTGATCATTCTTCGTAAAGGAAACTGAACGGCAAGAAARCGATCGAGAGAGATTACTGTTAATGACAACATGGCCAAGTTATGGCAAAAAGTCTCCATGAACGAGGTKGATTTACAAAAGACTAAAGCAAAAACATCGTTAACATATGGCATCGAATTATGAGGAAGCAATATCTTGAAGGCCAAGTTTATGATTATCACAAAAATTAACGCCAGAATTTCGCTGATAGCCATGTTAACAATCAGGTAACTTGTGGCGTTTTTCATTCGTTGGTTTCTGTGGAAAAGAAACATCTCGTATGACGCGATGCGTATGMAACTTTCAGGGAAAAAATATCGCTTAAAGGGACACTGTCAATGGATGACATGCGCAGTAACAGTCTCGCCTCTAACGGACTTTGAAAGTATTACCTTCGAGGAAAATCATTTTGTGGCGCTTTTGACGCACTTTGGAATATTCTAGATCTGTTTACGTTTACGAGCTGATTTATGTCGCGCCAACTTGGAGTCATAAACTTGAAAAAATTAGCCTAATGTTTTCAGGTTTACTCGCGCATGCGTGCTATTGACAGTGTCCCTTTAAATCAAAACAAATCAGGGCACTAAAATAGATTGAAGGTTTGCAGTTGTCACGAATTTTTCGAAACTTGCTATTTGATTGGTCCGTTACTATAGAGCCTCCGTTGCTAGGTTAGTGTTCGTTGTAATTTTTAGAAGAATCGTATTGTTTGTCCAAATAAACCAATCATTAGATTCGCTTCGAACGGTTCGTGAATATCCAAGATTTGAGATGGTTCTCTGCATCAGTAACATATGAAAATGAGCACAGAACCCTTCCATTTCGTGGGAATGCAACTGCAAAACAAATCTAGCTCCCAAGATGACAAAAATATATTGTCCTCCAGATGAAGCTGTTTTGACGTCGTATAATTTTGATTAGCTTAAACTCCTTCATTCTTTAAGGATTATCCACCATTCATACCATTTTCATACAATGACCGAGAGTGGAATCGGATATGTATTAAACACTTTATAAAATTCAACTTCTGGACTGCGTTCGTCACATGTGAAGTTCGGTGTATAACCTAGTCCTTTTACAAGGGATTTATACGTCCATCTTCTCCACGGAATAGCCGAGAATATGCTGTTACTTTCAATACTCGTGTCTTATTAAAAATATATCAATGTCTAAAAGATATTTGCACATGGATTTTTTTCAGAGTTTTCAAGAGATTCCAAAGAGATGTAATGTAATGTAATGTAATGTAATGTAATGTAATGTAATGTAATGTAATGTAATGTAATGTAATGTAATGTA